AGAAGGCTTGCCTAAGGCTGCGAGAAGCATCAACTTCAGGACCAGTAGCTGAATCATTTTTTTCAGGAACTTTAATCAAGTTATGAAAGCAGAATAAGAACAAATCTTCACTTATTAAATTTGCTGAGTTTCCATAGAACAAGTCTTGATAAGCTTGATTGATCTTTGAGCAGAAATTTCACAAATTTGTTTAATAGTAAAGGAAAGCCCTCTCTCCCATGGTTTAGCAAAATTGAGCAATACTCTTGGTCATATCTTTTGGTGACAGCCCTGCAGTCAACATTTTGGATGCTGTTGAAGAGCCCAGAGCTCCTGCTCCCTAAGAGATTGCTCACCAGAACATTCTAACTGTGCAGAAAGACATTTTACAATCTGGAGTTAAAGGTCATCAGACATTTGGCTAATTTCTCTGCAGGCAGCAACAAACATGGGCCAAACTCTTAAAGGTTACTTATGATCAAGATAATTTGAAAATTGAAATGTTGGATTTATAATCCAAAATTTGGCAAGATGAACAAACATCAATATGATGTGGACTTTGCCAAAGATAATAACCTCAGTAAATTGGGGACAAAGGGAATTATTCAAAATGAATTCAACTGTTTCCCTACAGAGTTCACCTGTGGCAAAATATGCTACACAGCTTTGGTTCAGCGTGCTATTGGATACTTTCATAAGCCAGGGTTTACAAAACTTTTGCCGCCAAAACAAGACAAAAATAAAAAATGATTAGATGTCAAGCTTGCTGCAAATGTTGCCGTATCAGAAGCAAAAGTTTTCTTCTACTTCTTCGTCAAACCTCAATGTCCTTCAAATTAAAAGTTGGTGATACCCTCAGTTGAAGTTCAAGTTTGGCTGTGCTTAAACATTTTTTATTTATTTTCTTTTCATAATGAAGTGGATTATTAATTTTGTATTAAAGTGAGCAAAAGAGACATAGGTTTATAAAGAATTTTTTAATATTCTTCTAAGTATAACCACATAGAAAAAGATGTGTAATTTATTTCTAATATCATAAAATATGTTCTATCTAAATTTTTGTGCCTTGTTAAGTGCTTTTTGTCTATAAATTCATAGCTTTCATCAGTTTCAAAGAATTTTACAATCTAAAAAAAAAAAAAAATCCTGAAAAAAACCCCTAGTCTTCTGCTTTTGATATTGACCTCTAGTAACATACGCATCATCTCACAACAATCCGAGATTGTATGGAAGGAAATCAAACCACAACACTTAGAAGAAAATAAAGATAAATATTTAACACATTTCAAGCTGAGAAAAGACTTTCTGAACAACAAAAATGAGAGAAAACTGATTTCACTGACAAACCTAGACATCCCTGTCAAACAAAAAACAACAGTAAATTAGGAAAAATATTTGTATGACATACAACAGTTAAACAACTTTAAAGAGCAAGAAAACACAGACTCTTCACTAAATAAAAAGATATAAAGGAAATACTTTCAAAAAAGAAAATACAAATGGAATAAAAATTCTTAAAAATAATCTCTTTAATAATAAAAAAATTCAAGTTAAAGAGGACCATTTGGCCTATAATATATTTTTTCAAAGCTACATAAGGAAAAGCTAAAAAGGACATGAACACTTTGGTATATCATGGAATAAAGGACACTGGTATGGTCTTTTTGGAAAACAATTTTGTAATGTGTATCAAATATTTATAAGATGGTTTCTTTCTTTAGTTTAATAGTTAATTTAAAATTATTTATGTATGGGAAAAATTAAAAATATAAGTAGAGATTTTATGTAAAAATAGTTCATTTCATTTCATGTTACTGATTTTTTTTTAAATCTGAATGAGTCAAAGTCAAGAGAATGGTTAAACATACTGAGGCACATCTATATATTGAGTAAGCAAGCCGTTAAAATGGTGTTTGTAATGAGTTTCAGTGTTTATGATGATCAAAAACTAGTAATCTACTAAAAAGAAGTAGAAAAAAGGTAGTGATATACATCTGTAATCTCAAAGATTTGGGAGGCTGAGACAGGAGGATAACAAGTTTGAGGTCAGCCTCAACAACTTAGCAAGACTATGTCTCAAAATAAAATATTATTTTAAAGGGCAGGGGATGTAGCTCAGTGGTAGAGCACTTGCCTAGCATGTACAAAGACCTGGTCCATTCCCTTGTACTGCTAAAAAAAAAAAAAAAAAAAAACAAGAAGAAGAAAGAAAAAGAAAAGAAAAGAAAAAAATGCTGAAAAGAAAAATTTTAAAGTAATATGGTAAAAATGTTTAAGTGTTTACAGTGTTTCAGGTGAATTTGGGTGATTAATTTTATTTTCTCTAGTTCGTAAATTAGCTACAATTAGTATATATTACTGTCACTTGATTAAATTTAAACATTTCAAGTTTAGCTCATGGATAGAGGCAGAAATATTTTAAAGAAAAAGAAAAACATTATATGATGTAAATGAGCAAATTACGAGTACAAAGCTTCAAAATAATTAATGAGAGAAAGGGTTTTATTTTATTTTATTTTTTCTCCAATTTAGCTATTCAGTGGCACTAACTTTTCTGTGACTTGGACGTTGTTGAGTGTTCTTTAGGTGTAAATCATAAACTGGTCATTGTCTCCAAACTGAAAAATCAACTTTGCAGACAAGAAAATGAGGAAATGATGTGAGACTGGTGAGGAGTTTTTCCTCCTGGAAACTAGCATGACTTATAAAAAGATAATAATAATAATAATAATAATAATAATAATAATAATACAGTAGAGTTGATCCTGGAATACCATGGGCTTGAATGGCACAGGTTATCTTACATGTGGATCTTTCTTTCTTTTTGAGGGGGTGGATTTGTGACAATTTGAAAAAACTTGCAGGCAAACTGAATAGCCTAGAAATATTGAAAAATTTTAAAACGTGATTTTCCAGGAATGAACAAAACCTACATATATAATAGCCCATTTTATCACTTACTACCCTGAAATATATACAAATCCACAATAAAAGTTAAAATTTATCAAAACTTATGCACACTAAGCAGACCATATATGATGCTGTGTGTCATAAAGAGAGATGAGAACAAATGTAAAGATGCAAGAGAAAGTCACAACTGCATAAAATTAACTGTTGTACCTCCTGTACTACTGTAATAATTCTGTAGCTACCTCCTGTTGCAACTGTGGTGAGCTCAGGTGTTTAAAGTATCCATTAAAACACCCATTTAAAACCCTAATCATCCCCACATGAGCAGCTTCTCTCTCTAATAAATTGCTTATTGCAATAAAAATGGTCTCCTGTGATTCCTGGCGTATTTTTCAACATATAATACATATAACAGACAAAATATATATTAACCAACTGTCTGTTACCAACAATGGGTTATTAGTAGATAAGTTATTGGGAAATCTACAGTTATCCATGGAGTTCCAGAGATAGCTAAGGTGGAGAATGGACCCCAAAGCCCTCAGCACCCCCAGAGCCATTGCCACTGGTCTAGTTACCACCCCAGTAGAGCAACAGCTGTGCAGTGGCCCTGTTACCTCACAGCAACCACAGAGCACCAGACGGGGACTGAGAAACTGCCCACCACCCCCACCTTCAGCACTGCAGACACCAAGCCTGGCACCAGTGACAGCACAGCAGGGACAGGTGGCCTGGGTGGTCTTACATGGGCAGCACCTACTGACGGGGACAAGAAGGTCCTAGCACAAAAGTCTGGGTCAAATGGCTCAATGTAAGAAACACATATTAGTTCATCAACAGGAATGACATCAGTCAGCCACGCAACGGCTTCCCACACATCAGGAAAGATGTATTTGCACACCAGCCTGCCATAACGAACCACCCCAGGAAGCACCTGAGCGGTGAAGGAGACAGAGAGAGGGAACTGGATGTTGTGGGAGGAAAGGGCACAGAGGCAGCAGATGTTGCAGGCCTGGCGGAGTTCCAGTTCAAGGTAGGAAATGAGCAGCAGACTGTAACCATTACAGGTGCCATCCAAGTCTGTAGGGTCCTCACACAATCAGCAGCAGAATTACCAGAAAGGTGAGTGAGGGAAAGAATGGGGGATTGCAGGGTGTCCCCGAAGGCCATGACCAACAACAGCCAGCCCTGCAGCAGGTCTTCTAAGGGCAGAGACTCTAAGAGTGACCACACAAGATGCCAGCCTTCCAGCACAGGGAGAAGAGATGAGGGTGCTGACAACCAGGGTGCAGGAGAACAAGGTGGACCAGTGAGGCAGAATATTATGGGGGTTACTGACCATGATCCACAGGGGCTCCTCAAAGATACCCTAGAGAGGGTAGCAGTGAAGAAGATAAGGGAAATCAAGGGGATGTGACCTAGGGTCAGCAGCCCTCTCAACATGCGTACCGCTGCAACTTCAGTTACTGAAACAGACGCCCAGGAAACCCCAAACCACAGGATGGTCAAGAGACAAAAGCCGCGATCGCCAGCTGAGAAGTCCTCCCCTCCCCAGGCTGAGCAAAGGTGTGCTGAGTAAATTTAGGTTTATCATCTATCCCATCATCCAGTCATCCATCAAGAGAAATGAATACAAAATCCCAGCAATAAGAAATGATCAGGGCTAACGACCTAAAGGCTAGCTTTTTGCCTGATGACCAGATATCTGTGCAGCATGGAGTTTTAACACTTTTTTCTAAATAGGTCTTCTTTTTTTTTTTTTTTGGTCCCAAGACCAAAAACACACACACATATATATATTTTTTAAAGTCCTTTTCCTACCAACAAATCTTTAAAGGATTTAAAATTGTTTCATATCTGGTGAAGTTGAGGTTTTTTTTAAAAGAACTTCATTTTAAATTTGTAATAAACATTTACAACTTGATTTTTAAAGGTTAACAAAGTGAAAGTACCTGTTATTAAAGATATTTTTTGTGTTTTTTTTTTTTTTTTTTTTTTGTAGTGCTAGGGATTGAACTCAGAGTCTTACACATGCTAGCCGAGTACTCTACCACTGAGCTACATCCCTAGCCCTAACATCCTGGGAAGAAAAGGACAGGGCAGGCAAATACCTGATGGTTTTCCACACATCAAAGCCGTCCAGAGGCTTCGTGCCATTGGTGTGTCCTCCAGCCAGATTAACGAGGGTCGGCAGCCAGTCGGAGATGTGGATGAGCTCCCGGTTCTTCACGCCCTTCTGTTTCAGCAAGGGACTGGCCACGAAACTCACCCCTCGAACGCCTCCTTCCCACAGACTCCATTTTCTTCCTCGAAGGGGCCAGTTATTGCCCCCTGCCAGGGTCTGCCCTCCGTTGTCTGAAAAATAATTAGGTCTTAGCATGAGGATGTGAAAGTTATCAGAATGAACACGCTTGTGTCAAACCCTAACAAACAAAAATTACAATAAACAAAGCTGAGGTTACAAAGGAGGGGAACCTCATCCAGATACGCCTGATGACAAGAACTATCACAAAAGACTGCCAGAACCACAACCTTGCATAAAGGCCACCCACATCTAGCAAACACCTGCAAGAATGTCTGTCCCACAATCCTGGGAACAACCTCGGACCAGTGTCACTCTTGCTATTGATTCCTGCAGCCAAGGATTGTTGTTTGAAAATCGCTTATGTAATCCTCAGTTTTCATTTAAAAATGCCCCTTTGCCTCAACCTCTTTGAAAATTCTCATAGTTTACTCTTGACACATGTATTCCCATCGTGAGCTCCTCTACTCCCAAATGAACTCATGATCTTTGGAGAATCTCTGTTGGTTATTAGGTGGAAGAAGACAATGTTAATTCTCAAATACATTCAAGAACAGAAGGCTTCTGTGTACACTCTTATTAAATGGTACTTGAAGAATAAAAATAAGAACTGCTCCTTACCTTCCTCTACTAACTCCCTTTCTCCCACCCAACATTGCCCTCCATTACACAGACATAACCAGGGTCCAGCATGGCACATGTCCTTCATGTGTAGGGCCCCAGAAAAACAAGGCAGTCCCCTGATTGTGTGATACAGGCATCTATCCCAGGAGCAAACTATCAACTAAGTCAAGTGCATGTGTGTGACTTTGTATAGCCCAGGAGAATGAGTCCAGGTGAGCCTCAGCTCACATGAAAGGAAAACTGGGGGAGTGTCACTTAGTGACTTAAAGCTCCTGAGAATGAGGACAACAGACCTTTCAATATTCTTCTTGGAAAAAGTTGTGAACATTTACACTGGTAACTGAATTAACATTCCACACCCTGCTGATCTGTACTCTTTCTTAAGTGTGAAAGTTAAAGATTTCTCCAATGATTTATAAATATCTCTGTAAATAAAGTAGTCAGGGGGGAAAAATAATTTTGAGAATATTTCCTCCCTGCTTGATAAGATGTCAAGACAAAGCCTCATGGACAGCAAAGCCAGGGAAGAGAAGGTTTCTCTTCCAAGACAGCAGAGGGGATGGGGACACTGGTAAGGATTGGGTGAAAGTTACAAGAGTGACTAAAGATAGGTATCTTACTAGCCAGGTGAGGGTTTGGAGTTAGACATTAAGTTAGAACTGTAGAAAATAAAGGTGATATTTCCTGTAGACTGAGTTTGTAGACTCACATTAGCTTCAAAAGTATCCATACACTTAGGTGACTTTAGAGATACATTTGAAATTACACTTATTTGCATACAAGTTGTTCTTAAGGAAACAAATAAACAAAAACACTGTTGTCCAGATGAGCCACATGAGGGCAGTGTGACAAACGTCCTCTATGGAAATTATGTAGTAGTCTTCCCTTATCTTTGATGGATATATTCCAAGACTCCCAATGGGTGCCTGAAACTCGGAGAGTGCCAAACTCTATATGTACTGTTCTTTCTAAATATAAATGTCTATGACAAAGTTTAATTTATAAATTAGGCACAGTAAGACATTAGTGGTAATTACAATATAGACTGATTATAACAATACATTGTAATAAAATCTATGTAAATCTAGCCAAAGTAGCACGTCTTTAATACTCACTACTCAGGAGGCTGGGGCAAGAGGATTGCTTGAACCCAGGAGTTCGAGGCCAGCCTGAGAAGTATAGCGAGACCCCACAAAAACAAAACAAAACCCACAAAACTATGTCAATGTGGTCTTTTTCAAAATCTTACTGTACTATGTCAGGTGCAGTGGCGCCTGCCTATGTAATTCAAAGGACTCGCAAGGCTGAGGCAGGAGGATGGCAAGTTCAAGGATAGCCTCAGCAACTTAGCAAGACCCTCAGCACTTGGAGAGACTCTGTTTCAAAATTTAAAAAAGCAAAAATGATCTGGGATGCAACTCAAGGGAAAAGTGGCCCTGGGTTCAATTACCATTACCCCCCCCCCCCAAAAAATAATCTTACTGCACTATCTGTTGGACAAAGGGATGATTCATGTCCTGGGCAGGACTGAGCAGGATGGCATCATACTATGCAGAGCAGTGTACAATTTAAAACATTAACTGTTTTTTTCTGGAAATTTCCATTTAATTATTTTAGGCCATGTTGATGGCAGGTAACTGAAACTGTAGAAGTGAAATTGTGGCTATGTAGGGACTACTAGATATAGCACAGGTGTGTACCTGGGAGGAAAGAGATGAACATTCTTAAGCTCCATCTCTGTTCCAGGTAACACCTGGCTTTCACATTATCTCATAGAGCCTGGGGTGGGACAGACATGGAACTGAAACATGACACCAGACACTTATTAACTGTGTGGCCAGGGGCAATATGCTACCTCAGTTTCCTCATCTTAAATATGGAGATAATAATTCCTACTTCATGTATTATGGTAAGAATAAAATAACACCAGTCATGATAATTTTGGACAGGGCCCCTGACATAACCTAAGTGTTCAATAAATAAATGGTAGCAATGTTGTCATTCTTAACATTTACGATGACCCAAGTAGATATAATAATCCAGTACTAGTAATTATAATAATCTTGTCTTATAATCATTTTCTTGCTTTAAAAAAAAAATCAGGTTTTAAAAGGCCAAACAGCTAGTAAGTGAAAAATCTAGGATTCCAACCAGGCCTGTGTGACAGTCAGGCCTCTGCCCCTGCAGTGCCAACTGCTAATGTCCCCAATTCAGGGACATATGAGGGCCACATGAGCCCTCTGGTCCCTGTAAAAGACACAGGGCTGACCAGCACAGCAGAGTGCACTCTTCCTACAAGATATCAGAAGCAGAGCTCTTTTAGGGTTACACTAATTCCCTTTGGTGCTGGTGGGGAAGAAAATCAAGGCTCTACTGCTAAGGGGGCTTTGGATGAAGCCCCTACCTCTCAGGAGTGGAGAGGAGACTTGAGCTAGATTAGATGAGGGATGGTAATGCTTCTTCAACTGTGGGTAGGTGACAATCAATCTCATCTTTGCTATCCCAGACATACAACCCTTTCCTCAAGTCTCTCTGCATCTGTTCTTTATCAGCCACCCAAGTGAGTTTATGAAATACACATTCCATTTCACATTCAATATCCAACAGAGTATCAGGCACCCACAACCAACGTGCCAAAACTTAAAAATGGAACCCTTCGTGTAATGCATTAATGCACTGGAAGGAAATGCTTACACTCTACCCCTGTTGTCAGGATTGCTATCAACCATACTGGCTCGATGCCTCAGGAGATGCCTGTTGTCTCTGTTTAGATAATGTGTTTTTCGTTCCACATATTTGGTGCTCAATAAAAAATACTGGATAATGATGGTGATGGAAATAAGAGCAGAGATGATGGGGATAAGAGTGGCTCTGGAATGTGAGTCTAGGAGCAACCCTTCAGTTATGACTCAGAAAGGAAAATTATCTGGGCTGTAAAGAGAATTTGGCCACTGCTGCTACTGTAGGAGCTGGAAGACATTTCCATGTGTCACGAGGAAAGGGCGCTGATGCAGTCGGTGGACTGTTTTTGCAATTAATTCGCAGTGATGTTTTTGCCATTAGCAATAATAACTGATTCTATCATCAGTCATCGGTGTGGCTTTCTCAATCTTTTTTTTTTTTTTAAGAACCCTCCGGAGAGAAAGCACTGTCAACTGACACCCCTGCAATTTCTCCTGACTCTCCCCTCACAGAGCCAAATGCAGATGTGACTGAAGGAAAAGGGCAATTGGCACTTGGCTGACCCTTGCCACTTACCAATAAAGGAGCAGAGTACACCATGTTAGTTTCTAGTCAGTTAAATGCATGAAAACAGGGTGCCGTCCATCAGTTCTAGTGCAGTCTCCTGGGTATTTCAAAGAGTTCAACATAAAACTCAGCAAGAACAAAATACGCTCAGGGGCTTGGGTTGTGGCTCAGTGAGAGAGTGCTTGCTGATACTTGGCACCATATAAAAATAAATAAAATAAAGGTATTGTGTCCATCTACATGTAAAAAAAATTTTTAAAGAATAAAATAAGGTCATATAAAACATGGTAGAAGGGATTTTTATAGATTGTTGCTCACTTAAGTCTGACATCAACTAAAATAAAATAAACTAATAATGGAACTACCACCATTTCTTTTTCTTTTTTTTTTTTTCAGAGTAGAAATTAGAAGTTTATTAAAGGACAGCAGAAAAGACTTCTCCCGGAGGAAGAAGGGGACCCAAGAGGTGGAATCCGTGGAAGGGATGTTGTCTCCCCTTTTTATAGTTCTTTCAGTGATGGAATGTAGGTGGGAAGGCCCCAGGGGTGGGACACAGGTGGGCCAAAGAAGTAATCTGGTCAGGAAGGACTTCTGAGTCAGCACCTTTTTGCTAGGGGCTGTTCATTAACATTTCTTTGAGGTGGACTTTGGCCTAGGGCCTTTTCGGGACTTCATTAACATTCCATGAGTTGTCCTGTGTTTTCCCTGAGTCATTCTCTGCATGGTCTCCATTTTAGATTTCACTCCATATTAGACCTGATTTACCTAACTACACTGACTACCTAACTTTAAATCTGGCTTCATTCCCCCCTCTAATTTGGGAACTCCTTACTGCTGTAAGGAAGAGGGGCGAAGAAGATCTTTCTGGCTTCTTCAGACTGAAAAGGGACGATGTGGGGCAAGCAGTTTGGAGTCCCCCTTTAAAACATCAGGTCTATGGAGTGGTCCATGATAGCAGTCTGATTGAGAAGTAATAGGCTGGAGGGACATTTGAGTGATGGATGGTCTATAAGAGAAACAAGAATTCATTAGTACTGGAACCATATTGATGCAGCAATAAATGCCATAGCACAGGAATATGCCAATGAGTATGATGGCAAAGACAAAGACTAACAATGTTTTCCACCAGGAAGTACCAAGAACTAGGAGCTAAGATATTGTTTCCATGACAAAGTTGCTG